ATGAGGATGATTCTTACACTGCAGCCAGCAATCCAAAAAGTGTTGGCCAAAATACTGCTTCAAGGAACTCTTGTCAATTGGGATAGTCTATTGCTTGGAGTTGTGCAAAGGAAACAGCAAAAACCTGAAACATAGCGTTGCAAGTTTTCAATTGCCGTTTTTTTCTTCCCCAATGCTATCAGCAGGATCAAGTCCATTCATCTTCCTGTATCTATGTGAAGTTCAGCCATCTCGATGTGGTATTCACCCCAGACTTTGGCTTTGATGATTGCCCTAGTCTTGGACCCTTGGCAATGACCATTGATGGCATATCACCTATGAATAGTTATAGTAGTGCAGTTTACATTTATCATTTGTCCTTGGTAGTAGTGGTGGCCGGTCTGGCATCAACCGTCGATGCATCACAAGAGGTTTCATGAAAGTTGGTTCTCCTTGGTAGAAAAGGTACGGGGCTTCGCCCGGAACCCCTTTCAACTTTCATGAAACTTTGCGCTTCGCGCGAAACTTGGCATTTTTTGGTGTCATAGAACTTGTCCTATATTGTCCAGTACTTCCCCCTAATGCTATAGCAATATTCCCTTAATTGACAGTTTAATTGGGTAAAAAGGACAAGGACACATTGTTTTTTTCACCACCCCATGTGAAGCCTATGTGATAGATGAGAACCCCTTGTCCTTTTTATGACATGGAAATTGTCTTTTTGAGGAAAAGAACCTTCTCATTTTTTGAAAGTTCCCATTTGACTTTGTGGCAGAACCTTGGGATGCAAAGCCATAGGACCATTTCTTTAAAATGCCCTGCTAGTCAGCCAAAACAGATCAATTACTGGACCAAATATAGACAAGGAAAACTTGTGACTAACAGATCCTTTCAGATTACAAAACTAGACGTATGGAGGACAGACCACATACTTCCCAAAATAATGGTCCCCTCAATGTTGACTTGATACAAGAATCAAGAAACATTGTAACAATAACATAAAATGCAGTGTACCTCTCGTGGGGGACGCCCAAGCCGACATAGTCCAAGGATGACCATGCCCACTGAAAGCAAAGGCAATTCATTGGCTTTAGTGTGGAGGCAGACCAAAAAGCACATTCAGAGCTTTGATCGCAGATTGTACCACCCTCGGAATTTGGTCTTCTTCATACATAATAAATTCCACCAGACGAGTACGTTCTCTACCAGTATGAATCTTTGCTAACATATCCGCAAGATTTGTTTTGGTTCCTTCCCAAGCAACTCAAATAAGATCACTTGCACATTTCGAACGAACATAATGATAAGCAACAGAATTGCTTTTCTTCTTCAAGAAAGATTCCGGGCGACTTGCGTTCATCACAACAGAGTTGTTATCAACAAGAGTATGGCAATGGCCATCAATTGGTACGCCCATCATTTGCAATTTGTATACTAGACCTTCAACCATTTCAACACCAGTCTTCAATGCAGCAAATTCACTTCCAAAAGAACTTGTTTTGACAGCATTCTGCTTCTTCAAATACCAAACGATCGGTGCATGATTCAAGAGGATAAGAACACCTGTTCTGGATTGACGTGTAACAAGATTGGAAGCATGTGAGGCATCAACAAACATCACAATCTTTACCGCTCGTCCAAGGGCTTCTGGCATATCAGGAGGCAGTACTTCTTTAGCCCATGGATAGAATTCATGCCATTCAGTTTTGTTATGTCGGTCAGAGCCATATATGCGGAATGCATGACAATCTCGCGACTTGGATGTGTTTCAAGATAACCAAAAAGGTGTAATACGGCATGAAAGTGTCCAACACGAGGCATGGCATTGTACGAGGACATCATTGAGACTTCAGCACAAACGTCCATTCTTCCAAGCTCAACTAACCACCGTAATATTCCAATCAGTTGCATATACAGTTTGTGTGTCTCTGCGTCAACAAAAAAATCAGTGTTGTCAAGCTCAGGCTTATAACCAGAAGGTAAGGCAGCAGATACGTTTCTTTTCAAATTCAAGTTGTATTTTTGATGTGAGATTCGAGACTTAACGACACGTAACGCTTCAAGCAAATAGTTAGTTGAACCAATTGACCAGCATTTTCAAGAATCACTAGGATCAACAAAACGTTTTGAAATTGTTGCACCAAGGAATGTTGTAGGCTATTAGGCTTGAGCATGTAATGCGTTCCAAGCCTCTCCAATAAAGCACGAGGATTTTCAGAAACAGCCATAAGGTCATCAGTGTAAAAAGAAATATATTCGTAATATTTTTTGCCGTTTGACTTCAAAGCGGGTTTTCTACAAGCATCCATGTCACCACGACATTGTTTGAACTCCATTTCTTGTCTCAGAGTCTTAGAAAGCGTAGATCTCCAGGAGAACCCGGAAGATTTGAATCCATAGAGTGCTTTCTCCACAACAGCAGTGCGGCCCTCAAGGTCTCCAAACTTGGGTCCAAGTACTGTGTAAATCTTCTCAGCACAAGGCGCGTTCAAATACGCTCCAGCAATGTCAGCAGACAAAATATCCAAACCATTTAACAAAGCAAGCAAGAATCCAATACAAATACTCTCACGAGTGACAACACTGGCATCACCATGAATTTGAGCACACAGATCCCACCCTTTTGTTGTTCTTTGAGGAACTTTCATATTCTTTACCATGACAAAACCATCATCAGCATGGACTTGTGTGCCATCCGTCCTGGGATCAATAAATTCTTTCGCATGGAGGATACTATTACCGTCATCATCAACATTCATCATCATTGCTTCAATGACTTTGTTTGCACGATAGGATTCAGTTTCACCGTCATGCCATTCGACTTCATAAATAGAAGTGTCCAAGACAGGCTTCTCATGATACGAACCAACCATCAAGCCATCTGCTCTTCTTTTTCTTCCACGAACAACTCCAAATTTGTCAATACCATTTTCATTCTTCCGGATCTTAACATCAACATATTTGTCAAATTCCACCTGATCATCTTCTTCAGATTGGGCTTCCTCAAAAGGCTCTTCATGCTGCAACATTTCATCATCTTCATATCGTTCAAAGTGCGGAGTGTTAGCGTTTGTGTGCAGAGGTCTGATATACTTTTCATCAGCTTTGTAGGCACCGGAAGGATCCTGTAAATCATCAATCTTGATGGGGTTAGTTTTGCAAACAGTTATGCAAGTCTTTGGTAAAACGCTATCTCAGGTCTTTGATATCTTTACTATCCCGCTCTTCTCTGGAGAGAGAAGTGGCACATGCAAAACACAGAGATCCGCCAATGTTAAAACTGGGTCCAAGCCAACGACACAATTGCTTATTCTCTTGACTGGAGTGTGTCGGGGACAAAGCCCAACACCAATCATAGATGCCAAAATCAGCCAGATGCAAGATATCTTTCGTATTACCGGAGATCCACCCGGCACCACAGTCATCACCTTTTCAAGAGTGACCAAGAACCATGTGACTTCTTAATTCCAAACAATAGATAAAGACTCAATCCCAAAACGCTTTTGGGATCCCTCTTCTTGCTTGATCAGGATTGTAAGGCTCGCTAGGATGTATTGGAACCTGGGCCTTATTTGCGACTCTTCGAAATTCTCCAGTAGCCAACAATTGAGCATCATCAGGTCGGAGAACTCTTGGAAAGCTAATGTCACAAAATAGTTCCTTGAGCGAGTTGCTCACTTCAGATTCTTTCTTCAAAGCGTAGCCACGGGCCCATTGACAGGCAGCAGCATAGACAGCAACATACTTATTTCCTTCAGCAGAAACACAGGGGACAGGGGCCTTGTTTGATATCAGCCCAAATATCAGCACGCAACCTAGGATATTCAAGTTGGAATTGAGTGGGGCGAAATTGTCTTGAGCCTTCAACTTTAGTCCAGTCCCGCAAAGCACGCTGGGTTGTTTTCTCAGGAGTACGACGGGCACATTTGAGGCTGATTTGCCATCTTCGCGCAACTTGTTCAGGTTTGACCAAATAGCTCTTGCCATTGGTTTTAACACCATTGATGGTCGCCTCAACTCTGTCCCCTAAAGCGATAGGAAGAGCGAGTGGGCAAATAGAGCAGTAGTTAGGATCAGAGCGTTCAACAGAATAGATTTGTTGAGTGGCTATGTCCCCTTGATATTCACGCCATAAATTTTGTTTGATGCAAGAGGATTCAGGATCATAAGGTTCCCAAGGGACGGAACTGGTCATTTCCACCAAAACATATTCATCAATTTCAGGCAGCGCAGGTTTGCGACAAGCAAAGAAGCTTATAGGCTTGAGGAAGTTGTAACCCCAAGTTTTCATCAATAATTGAATGCAAATATTGATTGCGATCTTTGCGCTTTAGACATTGGAGGGGCACATCATTCACAATTATACCAAAATCTCGAAGTTGATCCACACAAAGGAGATTACTTTTCATGGTTGGGATGTACGATGCTTGATCAAAGATCAAGATATACGTTTCAAGGGACAAAGGACAATCATAAGCAACCGCAACTTTTGCAACTTTAACGTTAGGCACACTGCCAAGCAAAGGATCAAAGCCTTTGACCAAACAATTTTCGCCAAGCTCACATTGGGGCAAGGAGTGGGAAAGGGACATTAAAACACAAACACGAGAGGAAAGGGAACAAGTAACACGAATCTGATAGTTGGCCTCATGTCAGCGACGGCCATGTCAAACTCCGCTACCAACGTTGTCAGAAGAGGGTGCTGGGGCTGGTGTAGGTGTAGGTGCGGGTTCTTCATTTTGTTGGCGGTCACGATTTCTTTGTTCACGCAAAGTGTTCAATTCTGCAATGTCACGTTCACTCATAAGATGACTGTTAGCATGTTCATGCGCTTGAAGGACAACACGACGATCACGATCAGAGAAACGCCTCCAAGTGTCCTGGGAGTATCCTCCGTTATTGCAGATGGTCGTGCCATCATCGGACCATACAGTACCATCGTGGTCTCGACTACCACCTCGTCCGTGACCTCCACCACGTCCATGTTTATTATAGGGTCTTTTACAAAAAAGAAAGGGGTAGGGATAGGTAAAATTCAAACACTTGCAGGTCATGATTCCAAACAGTCGCGGAAAACGAGTGGCCTAGGCCCCCCAATTTCTGCGACAGGTCAGATGTCACATATTGAATATCTGCACAACCAAAGAATGGCCAAACAGTCGCGCAACCAAAGAATGGCCGAACAGTCGCGCAACCAAAGAATGGCCGAACAGTCGCGCAACCAAAGAATGGCCAAACAGTCGCGCAGCCAAACAGTCGCGCAACCAAAGAATGGCCAAACAGTCGCGGAAAAGACCCCTCAATTTCTGCGGTTGCTGAAGACATGCAATCAACTTGATTCACTACTCTAACTCTTGGCCATCTAAAAACTTTTGAACGTGCTTAGCAAAACAAAGAAAAATACACAGGATCCAGGGAGATGCATCTGTGAACTTAAAAATATTACTACTTTTTGTCATACTGCTATAATCGATCCACATTTACCATAGCATTTGCTGACAGCCCAAGAATTCAACAATAACTAAATCCAGCTAATATCATGGCATAGGCCACTCGTTTTCCGCGACTGGTTGGCCATTCTGACATCTGACATGTCGCAGAAACCATCGATTTCCACGACTGATTCGCCATTCTTAAACTCAAGATGTGACATCTGAGATGTCGCAGA